CAGTCATTGCAGCCTGGAGAAAAAAATGTTAACTATCCAGCACTTGTAGACAGCAATAAGATCTTATTACCTCCATTACACATCAAGTTGGGATTAATGAAAAACTTTGTTAAGGCAATGGACAAGAATAAAGCAGGTTTCAAGTACCTGATTAGCAAATTTCCAGCACTTAGTGCTGCAAAAATAAATGAAGGAGTCTTTGTTGGGCCACAGATTCGTAAACTTATTCATGATGATGAGTTTCTTTCTCTGTTGCGTGGAAAGGAAAAGGCTGCCTGGACAACATTTGTAACAGTGACATCAAATTTTCTTAAAAACAATAAAACACCAGACTACAAGAAAGTGGTAGAAAAACTCATCCAGACTTACAGAAATCTGGGTTGCAACATGTCTCTAAAAATTCATTTTCTACATTCGCATCTGGATTTTTTCCCACCAAACTGTGGAGCAGTGAGTGATGAACACGGAGAGCGCTTCCATCAAGACATTGCAGCTATGGAAAGAAGATATCAAGGTAAATGGAGCCCATCAATGCTTGCTGACTATTGCTGGACAGTTGTAAGAGATAGCCCTTTCCTCGAATACAAGAGAAAAGCCAAGTCAGAAGCAAAACCGACACAAACTGAAGACAAAACTAGTGAGAATCCTAAGTATTAAAGTGATTCACCTTAGCTTATGGCTATAATTTTTCTTAGTAATCCTATGCAATATATTATGCCATTTAGGCTTTGTTATGTAGTCAATATCACTTGCTTTATATTTGTGGAAAGACATCTATCTATATAATTATTGTGCATTATGTAGTCATTACGCCTATAGTAGAAAACTTTTCGTTTACAGAAAAACTAGAGCCAATTAACAAATTTCATTGTTATATTTGAACTCAGAATGTGAAATTCATTAAGAAATGGATCCTTTTGTTTCCAAAACTGGCAAAAAATAAAAATTTGTTGAACAGTGTTATCAGTGTTTGGCAAAACATTTGGATGACAATTTCATTTAAAAAGCTCTCCAAAAGATAAATATTAGTAGTTTTTAGAGATGAGCGAATCGAACTTGGCGAAGTGGAATTCGTTTCGAATATTAGGAAAATATTCTGCGCCGAATCCGAAAATTAGCAGACTTCGGATGCGCGAATCTAAATTTTTCCAAAAATGGCGGGCGACATGTGCGGCGACGGAGCGGGGATCTCTGGGAAGGCGCGCTGACCCATAATTCATGACATGTGATCGCATTAGCCAATCAGCAGCCAGCCAGCCAGCACTGTGTAATGGTCGAGCAATAAATTGCGGCCCATTTTAGAATTCTCCATTAGCCTCCAGTCATTCAAGAGAGACAGACCTGTCTGTATTGAGGGACAGAGTTAGGGCCACAGAATTGTTACTTAGGGACACAGAACCGTTACTTAGGGACACAGAACCGTTACTTAGGGACACAGAACCGTTACTTAGGGACACACAATCGTTACTTAGGGACACAGAACCGTTACTTAGGGACACAGAACCGTTACTTAGGGACACAGAATTGTTACTCAGGGACAGACACAGAATTGTTACTCAGAGACAGACACAGAATTGTTACTCAGGGACAGACACAGAATTGTTACTGAGGGACACAGAATTGTTACTGAGGGACACAGAATTGTTACTGAGGGACACAGAATTGTTACTCAGGGACAGACACAGAATTGTTACTCAGGGACAGACACAGAATTGTTACTCAGTGACAGACACAGAATTGTTACTGAGGGACACAGAATTGTTACTGAGGACACAGAATTGTTACTGAGGGACACAGAAATGTTACTCAGGGACACAGAATTGTTACTCAGGGACACAGAATTGTTACTCAGGGACAGACACAGAATTGTTACTACACAGAATTGTTACTGAGGGACACAGAATTGTTACTGAGGGACACAGAATTGTTACTCAGGGACAGACACAGAATTGTTACTGAGGGACACAGAATTGTTACTGAGGGACACAGAATTGTTACTCAGGGACACAGAATTGTTACTCAGGGACAGACACAGAATTGTTACTGAGGGACACAGAATTGTTACTCAGGGACACACAGAATTGTTACTCAGGGACACAGAATTGTTACTGAGGGACACAGAATTGTTACTCAGGGACACAGAATTGTTACTCAGGGACACACAGAATTGTTACTGAGGGACACAGAATTGTTACTGAGGGACACAGAATTGTTACTCAGGGACACAGAATTGTTACTCAGGGACACAGAATTGTTACTCAGGGACAGACACAGAATTGTTACTGAGGGACACAGAATTGTTACTGAGGGACACAGAATTGTTACTCAGGGACACAGAATTGTTACTCAGGGACACAGAATTGTTACTCAGGGACAGACACAGAATTGTTACTCAGGGACACAGAATTGTTACTCAGGGAGAATTGTTACTCAGGGACAGACACAGAATTGTTACTGAGGGACACAGAATTGTTACTGAGGGACACAGAATTGTTACTGAGGGACACAGAATTGTTACTCAGGGACACACACAGAATTGTTACTGAGGGACACAGAAATTGTTACTGAGGGACACAGAATTGTTACTGAGGGACACAGAATTGTTACTCAGGGACACAGAATTGTTACTGAGGGACACAGAATTGTTACATCAGGGACACAGAATTGTTACTCAGGGACACAGAATTGTTACTCAGGGACACACAGAATTGTTACTCAGGGACACAGAATTGTTACTCAGGGGACACAGAATTGTTACTGAGGGACACAGAATTGTTACTCCGAGGGACACAGAATTGTTACTGAGGGACACAGAATTGTTACTCAGGGACACAGAATTGTTACTCAGGGACAGACACTGAGGACACAGAATTGTTACTGAGGGACACAGAATTGTTACTGAGGGACACAGAATTGTTACTCAGGGACAGACACAGAATTGTTACTGAGGGACACAGAATTGTTACTCAGGGGACACAGAATCGTTGAATTAAAGAGTATGTCAGACAACACGCAGAGGAGTGGCAGAGGAGGCAATGTTTTAGGAGCGAGCAGACGTGGCGTGGCAGCAGAGGAAGGGGTCGAGGCAGCACTAGTCGCAGCCAGAGGCCAGTGCTCCCGGTGTCATCCAGCGGTCGTTGTGTCTCCACCGACAACCCTGCCGTCATCGATTGGTTGGCTCGGTCGTCTTCCTCTTCCCAGGTCACCTCTGACACCTACAGCCAACGGTCGGTGGGTACGTCAGACACAACCGTTAGTTGGCATGGCCCGGGAGCAAGCCCACTGAAATCACGTGTCCTCTACCTGCCCCTGTCCTTTGGTGTTCCCTCACCAAGCGAAGTATCGCATGCTGTGGGCTCAGCCCCACTGTACAGTGAGGAAGAGCTAACAGAGGGCGGTCAGGAACGGGGGGAGACATCCGCCTCTTCAGCAGCCAGGCGAAGAAGTACTGGCGAGGAGAGTGGCTCGGTAGCCGGTCTAGAGACAGGTCTGTCTCCTGACCCACACGCAGCCGAGGGGGCTAGTAGTGAGGCGGAGACCCTAATTGATGATGATGAGGCTGATCGCACTTGGCAGCCTCGTCGTCATCAGGCTATTGCTTCCGCATCATCAGGAGAAGAGGGTGCCAGCTTGGCAGCGAGCAAAACAGTCGGTGGGTTGCCCAGGAGGCAGCAGGGTCGCAGCAGTGTCAGTGGAGGCAAACGGCCACGGAGTAGAGCACCAGCTCCACTGCAGCCTACCACCACGGCCAGTAGTGGTGCCGGTGTGCACGGAGGAAGTAGCAGTCAGCCAGTGAGGAGTAGCGGGGGCAAAGTTTCCTACTCGGCGGTGTGGCAATTTTTCGTCAAGCCGCCCGAGGAAGTAAACGTAGCCGTATGTCGACTATGTGGCCAGAAAGTCAAGCGTGGCCAGGGGGCCCATGTCTCCATCGCCACACTCTGCCATGTGCCACTTTCAGGTCTCCTCACACTGCTGGTGGGTTCCATTTTGTCATAGGGTGCTGGCAGATTACGGGCCTCCCATTGCTGCTGCCAGGCCCGTAATCTGCCATGGGCCCCCGTACCGCCTCCTCATGCTGCTGCCAGGTCCAGAGTCTCTCATGGGTCCCTGTACGGCCTCCCATTGCTGCTGTCTCCATCGCCACACTCTGCCATGTGCCACTTTCAGGTCTCCTCACACTGCTGGTGGGTTCCATTTTGTCATAGGGTGCTGGCAGATTACGGGCCTCCCATTGCTGCTGCCAGGCCCGTAATCTGCCATGGGCCCCTGTACCGCCTCCTCATGCTGCTGCCAGGTCCAGAGTGTCTCTCATGGGTCCCTGTACGGCCTCCCATTGCTGCTGTCTCCATCGCCACACTCTGCCATGTGCCACTTTCAGGTCTCCTCACACTGCTGGTGGGTTCCATTTTGTCATAGGGTGCTGGCAGATTACGGGCCTCCCATTGCTGCTGCCAGGCCAGGCCCGTAATCTGCCATGGGCCCCTGTACCGCCTCCTCATGCTGCTGCCAGGTCCAGAGTCTCTCATGGGTCCCTGTACGGCCTCCCATTGCTGCTGTCTCCATCGCCACACTCTGCCATGTGCCACTTTCAGGTCTCCTCACACTGCTGGTGGGTTCCATTTTGTCATAGGGTGCTGGCAGATTACGGGCCTCCCATTGCTGCTGCCAGGCCCGTAATCTGCCATGGGCCCCCGTACCGCCTCCTCCTCATGCTGCTGCCAGGTCCAGAGTCTCTCATGGGTCCCTGTACGGCCTCCCATTGCTGCTGTCTCCATCGCCACACTCTGCCATGTGCCACTTTCAGGTCTCCTCACACTGCTGGTGTGTTTCCATTTTGTCATAGGGTGCTGGCAGATTACGGGCCTCCCATTGCTGCTGCCAGGCCCGTAATCTGCCATGGGCCCCTGTACCGCCTCCTCATGCTGCTGCCAGGTCCAGAGTCTCTCATGGGTCCCTGTACGGCCTCCCATTGCTGCTGTCTCCATCGCGCACACTCTGCCATGTGCCACTTTCAGGTCTCCTCACACTGCTGGTGTGTTCCATTTTGTCATAGGGTGCTGGCAGATTACGGGCCTCCCATTGCTGCTGCCAGGCCCGTAATCTGCCATGGGCCCCTGTACCGCCTCCTCATGCTGCTGCCAGGTCCAGAGTGTCTCATGGGTCCCTGTACGGCCTCCCATTGCTGCTGTCTCCATCGCCACACTCTGCCATGTGCCACTTTCAGGTCTCCTCACTGCTGGTGGGTTCCATTTTGTCATAGGGTGCTGGCAGATTACGGGCCTCCCATTGCTGCTGCCAGGCCCGTAATCTGCCATGGGCCCCTGTACCGCCTCCTCATGCTGCTGCCAGGTCCAGAGTCTCTCATGGGTCCCTGTACGGCCTCCCATTGCTGCTGTCTCCATCGCCACACTCTGCCATGTGCCACTTTCAGGTCTCCTCACACTGCTGGTGTGGTTTCCATTTTGTCATAGGGTGCTGGCAGATTACGGGCCTCCCATTGCTGCTGCCAGGCCCGTAATCTGCCATGGGCCCCTGTACCGCCTCCTCATGCTGCTGCCAGGTCCAGAGTCTCTCATGGGTCCCTGTACGGCCTCCCATTGCTGCTGTCTCCATCGCCACACTCTGCCATGTGCCACTTTCAGGTCTCCTCACACTGCTGGTGTGTTTCCATTTTGTCATAGGGTGCTGGCAGATTACGGGCCTCCCATTGCTGCTGCCAGGCCCCTAATCTGCCATGGGCCCCCTGTACCGCCTCCTCATGCTGCTGCCAGGTCCAGAGTCTCTCATGGGTCCCTGTACGGCCTCCCATTGCTGCTGTCTCCATCGCCACACTCTGCCATGTGCCACTTTCAGGTCTCCTCACACTGCTGGTGGGTTCCATTTTTTGTCATAGGGTGCTGGCAGATTACGGGCCTCCCATTGCTGCTGCCAGGCCCGTAATCTGCCATGGGCCCCTGTACCGCCTCCTCTCATGCTGCTGCCAGGTCCAGAGTCTCTCTCATGGGTCCCTGTACGGCCTCCCATTGCTGCTGTCTCCATCGCCACACTCTGCCATGTGCCACTTTTCAGGTCTCCTCACACTGCTGGTGGGTTCCATTTTTTGTCATAGGGTGCTGGCAGATTACGGGCCTCCCATTGCTGCTGCCAGGCCCGTAATCTGCCATGGGCCCCCGTACCGCCTCCTCATGCTGCTGCCAGGTCCAGAGTCTCTCTCATGGGTCCCTGTACGGCCTCCCATTGCTGCTGTCTCCATCGCCACACTCTGCCATGTGCCACTTTCAGGTCTCCTCCTCACACTGCTGGTGGGTTCCATTTTGTCATAGGGTGCTGGCAGATTACGGGCCTCCCATTGCTGCTGCCAGGCCCGTAATCTGCCATGGGCCCCTGTACCGCCTCCTCATGCTGCTGCCAGGTCCAGAGTGTCTCATGGGTCCCTGTACGGCCTCCCATTGCTGCTGTCTCCATCGCCACACTCTGCCATGTGCCACTTTCAGGTCTCCTCACACTGCTGGTGGGTTCCATTTTGTCATAGGGTGCTGGCAGATTACGGGCCTCCCATTGCTGCTGCCAGGCCCGTAATCTGCCATGGGCCCCCGTACCGCCTCCTCATGCTGCTGCCAGGTCCAGAGTCTCTCATGGGTCCCTGTACGGCCTCCCATTGCTGCTGCTGTCTCCCATCGCCACACTCTGCCATGTGCCACTTTCAGGTCTCCTCACACTGCTGGTGGGTTCCATTTTGTCATAGGGTGCTGGCAGATTACGGGCCTCCCATTGCTGCTGCCAGGCCCGTAATCTGCCATGGGCCCCTGTACCGCCTCCTCATGCTGCTGCTGCCAGGTCCAGAGTGTCTCATGGGTCCCTGTACGGCCTCCCATTGCTGCTGTCTCCATCGCCACACTCTGCCATGTGCCACTTTCAGGTCTCCTCACACACTGCTGGTGTGTTCCATTTTGTCATAGGGTGCTGGCAGATTACGGGCCTCCCATTGCTGCTGCCAGGCCCGTAATCTGCCATGGGCCCCCGTACCCCTCCTCATGCTGCTGCCAGGTCCAGAGTGTCTCATGGGTCCCTGTACGGCCTCCCATTGCTGCTGTCTCCATCGCCACACTCTGCCATGTGCCACTTTCAGGTCTCCTCTCACACTGCTGGTGTGTTCCATTTTGTCATAGGGTGCTGGCAGATTACGGGCCTCCCATTGCTGCTGCCAGGCCCGTAATCTGCCATGGGCCCCTGTACCGCCTCCTCATGCTGCTGCCAGGTCCAGAGTGTGTCATGGGTCCCTGTACGGCCTCCCATTGCTGCTGTCTCCATCGCCACTCTGCCATGTGCCACTTTCAGGTCTCCTCACACTGCTGGTGGGTTCCATTTTGTCATAGGGTGCTGGCAGATTACGGGCCTCCATTGCTGCTGCCAGGCCCGTAATCTGCCATGGGCCCCCGTACCGCCTCCTCATGCTGCTGCCAGGTCCAGAGTCTCTCATGGGTCCCTGTACGGCCTCCCATTGCTGCTGTCTCCATCGCCACACTCTGCCATGTGCCACTTTCAGGTCTCCTCACACACTGCTGGTGTGTTCCATTTTGTCATAGGGTGCTGGCAGATTACGGGCCTCCCATTGCTGCTGCCAGGCCCGTAATCTGCCATGGGCCCCTGTACCGCCTCCTCATGCTGCTGCCAGGTCCAGAGTCTCTCATGGGTCCCTGTACGGCCTCCCATTGCTGCTGTCTCCATCGCCACACTCTGCCATGTGCCACTTTCAGGTCTCCTCACACTGCTGGTGGGTTCCATTTTGTCATAGGGTGCTGGCAGATTACGGGCCTCCCATTGCTGCTGCCAGGCCCGTAATCTGCCATGGGCCCCCGTACCGCCTCCTCATGCTGCTGCCAGGTCCAGAGTGTCTCATGGGTCCCTGTACGGCCTCCCATTGCTGCTGTCTCCATCGCCACACTCTGCCATGTGCCACTTTCAGGTCTCCTCACACTGCTGGTGTGTTTCCATTTTGTCATAGGGTGCTGGCAGATTACGGGCCTCCCATTGCTGCTGCCAGGCCCCGTAATCTGCCATGGGCCCCTGTACCGCCTCCTCATGCTGCTGCCAGGTCCAGAGTCTCTCATGGGTCCCTGTACGGCCTCCCATTGCTGCTGTCTCCATCGCCACACTCTGCCATGTGCCACTTTCAGGTCTCCTCACACTGCTGGTGTGTTCCATTTTGTCATAGGGTGCTGGCAGATTACGGGCCTCCCATTGCTGCTGCCAGGCCCGTAATCTGCCATGGGCCCCCTGTACCGCCTCCTCATGCTGCTGCCAGGTCCAGAGTGTCTCTCATGGGTCCCTGTACGGCCTCCCATTGCTGCTGTCTCCATCGCCACACTCTGCCATGTGCCACTTTCAGGTCTCCTCACACTGCTGGTGGGTTCCATTTTGTCATAGGGTGCTGGCAGATTACGGGCCTCCCATTGCTGCTGCCAGGCCCGTAATCTGCCATGGGCCCCTGTACCGCCTCTCTCATGCTGCTGCCAGGTCCAGAGTCTGTCTCATGGGTCCCTGTACGGCCTCCCATTGCTGCTGTCTCCATCGCCACACTCTGCCATGTGCCACTTTCAGGTCTCCTCACACTGCTGGTGGGTTCCATTTTGTCATAGGGTGCTGGCAGATTACGGGCCTCCCATTGCTGCTGCCAGGCCCGTAATCTGCCATGGGCCCCCGTACCGCCAGACTCCTCATGCTGCTGCCAGGTCCAGAGTCTCTCATGGGTCCCTGTACGGCCTCCCATTGCTGCTGTCTCCATCGCCACACTCTGCCATGTGCCACTTTCAGGTCTCCTCACACTGCTGGTGGGTTCCATTTTGTCATAGGGTGCTGGCAGATTACGGGCCTCCCATTGCTGCTGCCAGGCCCCGTAATCTGCCATGGGCCCCTGTACCGCCTCCTCATGCTGCTGCCAGGTCCAGAGTCTCTCATGGGTCCCTGTACGGCCTCCCATTGCTGCTGTCTCCATCGCCACACTCTGCCATGTGCCACTTTCAGGTCTCCTCACACTGCTGGTGGGTTCCATTTTGTCATAGGGTGCTGGCAGATTACGGGCCTCCCATTGCTGCTGCCAGGCCCGTAATCTGCCATGGGCCCCTGTACCGCCTCCTCATGCTGCTGCCAGGTCCAGAGTGTGTCATGGGTCCCTGTACGGCCTCCCATTGCTGCTGTCTCCATCGCCACACTCTGCCATGTGCCACTTTCAGGTCTCCTCACACTGCTGGTGGGTTCCATTTTGTCATAGGGTGCTGGCAGATTACGGGCCTCCCATTGCTGCTGCCAGGCCCGTAATCTGCCATGGGCCCCCCGTACCCACCTCCTCATGCTGCTGCCAGGTCCAGAGTGTCTCATGGGTCCCTGTACGGCCTCCCATTGCTGCTGTCTCCATCCCACACACTCTGCCATGTGCCACTTTCAGGTCTCCTCACACTGCTGGTGGGTTCCATTATAGGGTGCTGGCAGATTACCAATGTCATAGGGTTGCTGCCAGATTACGGGCCATCCCATTACCGCTGCTGCCAGGCCCGTAATCTGTCATGGGCCCCCCGTACCGCCGCCTCATGCTGCTGCCAGGTCCAGAAGTGTCTCATGGGTCCCTGTACGCCTCCCATTGCTGCTGTCTCCATCGCCACACTCTGCCATGTGCCACTTTCAGGTCTCCTCACACTGCTGGGGGTTCCCATTTTTTGTCATAGGGTGCCTCTCGGCAGATTACGGGCCTCCCCATTGCTGCTGCCAGGCCCCCTAATCTGCCATGGGCCCCTGTACCCGCCTCCTCATGCTGCTGCCAGGTCCAGAGTGTCTGTCATGGGTCCCTGTACGGCCTCCCATTGCTGCTGTCTCCATCGCCACACTCTGCCATGTGCCACTTTCAGGTCTCCTCACACTGCTGGTGGGTTCCATTTTGTCATAGGGTGCTGGCAGATTACGGGCTCCTCATATTGCTGCTGCCAGGCCCGTAATCTGCCATGGGCCCCCCGTACCGCCTCCTCATGCTGCTGCCAGGTCCAGTAGTCTCTCAGGGGTCCCTGTACGGGTCCTCCATTGCTGCTGTCTCCATCGCCACACTCTGCCATGTGCCAACTTTCAGGTCTGCTGCTGTCTCCATAGCCACACTCTGCCATGTGCCACTTTCAGGCTCCTCACACTGCTGGTGGGTTCTATTTGTTTACATAGGGGTCCTGGCTAGATTACGGCCCCTCCCATTCTGCTGGCCAGCACGAATCGGCCTAGGCCCCCGTACCGACCTCCTCATGCGGTGACGGTGGCTACAAGGGGTGTATGCAACCCTACAGATGTTAACGCCTTTACAACAGCGAAAGGCCATCACCGATTTCCTAAATTTTACAAGCGGAAAAAGGGTACCCCCCTGTGTAACTTAGATTCGCCTTTTGGGCACTCTTTCTGACACCTCTGCTTGCTCAGACCCTTTGAGGAGGCCACGCTATTCGTAAAGTGGGCAGGCCCAAAGGGATAACGACGCTTTCCTCTGTTGAAACGTCCTGGAACAAATGCTTTTAAACCCAATGGCTGGTCGGGGGCCCGGTAAAACATGGCGCACAGATCTCAAGGGCCACATGACCCTTT